CTTTGTGACAGCCCTTGAGATATTGGAACACTGCTATCATGTCTCCCCTTGTCCTTCTTTTCATTAAACTAGACATACCCAGTTCCTGCAACCATTCGTCATATGTTTTAGTCTCTAGTCCCCTAATCATCTTTGTTGCTCTTCTCTGCACTCTTTCTAGAGTCTTAACATCCTTTTTATATTGTGGTGACCAAAACTGAATGCAGTATTCCAAGCGTGTCCTTACCAAGGCATTATAAAGTGGAATTAACATTTCACGTGATCTTGATTCTATTCCTCTGAACTGTGAGCCTAGAACTGTGTTGGCATTTTTGGCAGCTATTCTTAAAAAGTATAAATAGCTTCGTACTCAGTTTTCACTAAACTCACATAAAAAGGGGAAAATGCTCTGTAAAGCAAGGGTCTCCTAACCTTGGCAACGTTAAGCCTGGAGGACTTCAACTCCCAGAATTCCCCAGCCAGCTGGGAATTCTGGGGAGTTGAAGTCCTCCAGGCTTAACGTTCCAAGGTTGGAGACCCCTGCTGTAAAGGATAAGACCACCTAAGAAAAGAATGGTATTAGTGGATGATTCCAGCATCCAGTTTAATGCTAACAAGTTGAAATATGTTTTCAGAGGCCTTTAACGTAAAATACTGGAAACTCTCTAGCAGTTATTAGAAGAGATCTCAAAAAGTAATTTCACAGTGCAATTCTGAATATTGTGCTATTTTCCTTTCTATAGCTTAACTATTAAATAGTTAAAAGCAAATGCTTAGCTCTGGCCTTACAGACAGATGAGAAACTGAGCTTTCTAGAGTAACTAAACTAATCATGTATAGTTTTCTTCAGGAGAGGAAGGGAAGAAAGAGAGTTCCACTTCCATAGATCAGGCCACGAATGCTAAAACCAAGGGCATTATTATGGGATGGCGGCAGAGCACAACCATAAGTAGGCTAGAGCGCAAAAATGGATCCCAACCCGTGATTCAGGGATCAGTGATAGTCTGTGTGGGTTTCAAAGGAAGAGCCCTCAAAATCTGCCATGAAAATAAAAATTAAAAGGCTGAAAACTGAAGCGATTGCAGAAATGTTACATGCCTACATTTACATATAAACAATTCTGCTCGATCCAGAGGTCTTCTGGAGGCCATGCGGAGCAATCGCATGTACCTGTATCAAGCTGGCTAGAGGCGCTGTGCTGCTGTGAAGGTTTTTTTTCCAAAATTGTTAATAACAACAGAGTGGTTTGCATCTAAGAAAAAGTAAGGATCTGCTAGATGTATAAAACACAGATTAACGAGGGACAGAAAAAAATACAATAGCAATAGCAATAGCAGTTAGACTTATATACCGCTTCATAGGGCTTTCAGCCCTCTCTAAGCGGTTTACAGAGTCAGCATATTGCC